ACACCTTGACCGCGTTCCGTTTCATGTATATGCGCGCATTTATCTACAGTTCACGTCACTGTAGGAAATGCGCGCATAATGTGAAACGGAACGCAACCCTTATATTCTTACTCCATAGTTGCTTTATTGGGTGCGTTCAGCGAACTCAACAGTTGCACCACAGTTGAATAATTCGTCAATGTAATTGGTCTAGATTTAGGGATCTAACAATAAGAACCAATAATCGCTGATTACTTACTGAGCGCTTTTTCCGCTAAATGAGCCCATTGGGTGAATTCAGTACTATAACCGCTCACTGAGCGCTCAGTGAGCTCTTGTATCCCATTGGCATATTCTTTTAGATCTAAAAATATGTACCAATGAAATGTAAGAGCTCACTGAGCGCTCCGTAATTGAAGTATCTAAAAAGTTTCTGAAGAGATTTAGATACATTTTCAAAGTATCTGTATTTACATCTAGTTATTCATATGAAATTCGTATCTGCATCTTCATCTAACTACACTTCTCTTACTGTATATGTATTTATATCTAGCTACCCAATGAAAAATTTTTCATATATAATTATATAAAATTATATAAAATTATATATAATTATATATAATTATATATTATTATGTATCAAATTTGTCCATTCATGTTCATACATTCTACTTACATATATAATTATATATAATTATATATAATTATGTATAATTATATATATATAAATTCATATATAATTTTACATAATTACACATAAATTTATATGTAATTATACATATTGTTATACATAATTATGTATAATTATATATAATTTTATATGATTATATATAATTATACATAATTATGTATGGACAAATTTTATATGAAAAAAAAAAATTTGCATGAAAAATTTTTCATCGGGTACTTCTAAACATGTATCTGTTACAACACTGATTTTAGTTAACATTTTTAAATTTAAGTTAAATTAGCTACAAGTAAGGAGCATATTCGTTACTGCACATTTTGTATAAAGTATAAAGCAACTATATAATAATATAGTAAATATAATTCTACAATTATAACTTAATTATATGAATTATATAATATTATATGTGTAAACATAAAGTAATTACATCTTATATAATATAATATTAATTGTATAAAAATTATTAAAAAATAATTAATTAAAATTATGTTTATTATATTATAATTTATATTGTTAATAAAATCACAGGTATTGAAATGTACTATAAAATAAATACATAAAAATAAAATTAATTACTGAATAATTAACAAATGGTATTCATATACCTGGTGTCAGATCAGCAGGTTTCTTGTGAAAAATGCTAAAAGAGCCGAAAGGTGCACGCAAGACAGAACCGCGACAAATTTGTCGCTGCACAACTTCGTACGCGCCAGGGCCAGGTGTGTCTGTTCGAGGACCCTCTTCGAATCTCTTATATATATACATAAAAGGAATAATCATAAATTCAGTTTAATTTAATGAAATCCAAAGAACAGAATATTCAATTGAACGGCACTTCGCTGTATAAGTCGGAAATCGGACACAGAGGAGACTGGAGCAGGTCTCACAGCAGGGGTAGGTTCGCAAATCGTTTCGTTTATGTACTTATTGTGAAACAAACAGTTCGAGTAGAATCATAAAACATTTCGTTTAGTGTAAAGATACTTATCTCCAATTTTTATTACTATCAGACAAATATTATAGCTAAAAGAAAGAAAAAACTGATTTAAGGACAGTCGAGTAAAGTTAAAACTAAAAAAGTTAGAACTTTAGACATTTCGAAATTTTCTCCTCATATTTTCTATCGTAAATGAATAAACTGAAGTTATGTAATATTAGTTAAAATGAAGCTTGTTGTAGATATATGATATACTGTTTTGCATAATAACAGTAAACTTTATTCTTAAAATTATTAAAATCGCAGAAATGAGCAAAGGTAGGTTCGCTAATTTTTCTCTATAGTAGCACTGATGAACATTTTTTATCTTTGTTTATATGTACACGTTGATTTTCTTCATAATATGTTGATACTTATTCTATATCTTTATGTTTATTGTACACATATAAAGTATATTACAATTATTACAATTATTTCCCTTTGTTTTAAAATTTAAATAAAATTTTAAGCACAAAGATGTCATATATGGTATCTCATTGTATAATTTTTTGGTTTAACACTCTTCAAAGTGCACAATTACATGTATTTTATGTAATGCTGACCTACCCCGAGCTAGCGTACCTGTCCCGGTACCGGGGCAGATGTGCCTTCATGCTGCGTGTTGATATTACAAACGAAACTATACGGCATCGTCGATAAGATTAAAATGTAGAGGAAGGTTGTCTCTATCATTGTTATATAGCCAATTGGAACAATTAAATGTTTCAAACTATTTTATCATTGAAACTTCAAATAATTAGCGAACCTGCCCCGGTCTCTTCTAATCAGGAATGAGAAAGTTGCTTTTTAAAAGTAAAACTTTCGTTACTATCTTACTTATTCTTATAGTATAAGTAAATGAGAGTTTTGTAAAAATATCAATTAAATTTTTCTGATTTTAGTATTTGATTTAAACAAACATGTTTCAATTTAACTAATTGACGATTGATTTGAGCAAATTCATTAAAAGAACGTTTCATTAATGATTAATTTCGACGAATGTAATTAAGGACTGTTCATTTGACGGTTGATATGAATGAAGGGAATCAAAGATTAAATTCAATTAACAATTTGACTTAGTAAATGTAATTAAAAGTTGTTTAATTGACTATTGAACTTAGAGAATTTGATTAAATGGTGTTTAATTGAGGATTGATATGAGCAAATTCAATCGACTCAATCGGAAAAACGTTCGATTATTCAAGATTACAATTGGTTTTATGGATAATATTCCTACCCAAAGCATCGTATTGTGGAAAATAGCGATGATTGAGAAACGCTAAGTAGGACCTGCGTTGAGGAGACCAGTGGTTATATCAATCGTCACCGAACAATCTTCGATTTAATTGATTAAATTTGCTCATATCAATCGTCAATTAAACATCCTTTAATTAAACGGCCTTTAATTGAATTTTGCTAAGTTTAATCGTGAATTAAGTAGTTTTTAATTAAATTTGCTAAGCTCAATTATTAATTGAACGATCTTTAATTCTCTTCGCTCATATCAATCGTCAATTAAACAGTCTTAAATTGAATTCATTGAAATCAATCGTCAATTAAGCGGTTTCCAATTGAATTAGCTCATATTAATTTATCATATGTATTAAATATGATAATTTATTTAAAAAGTAATTAATTATTGTTAATCTTGAAGTAAATATGTTATGAGTGCCAATCTAATGAATATTTTTGTTTCACAGATATTTTTTCTCTCACATAACATACACAGTGTAGTACTCATCATAAAAGTAAATGTTCTAATAACTGAACTAATAAAAACGCACGAGCAATTTTACACTTTTACTATTAAATAATTAATGGAATTACTAATATAAAAATAACGTTTATATAAAACTTTAGTGTCACCGATCGAAGAATCATAAGGAAATTGATAGATATATCAAATATAAATTTAATGAAATATTAGGTAATACCAATTATACTAATAATTAAACTGAAAAATAAGTCCTAATTATGCCGAATAATGCTCAATAATTAAATATTCATTAGATGATATTATAAATTAGCAGAAAGAAATATCTTAACAAAATTTCAAAGGCTTTTCTAAGAATATTGAATATAAATATATTATTAACCCTCTATATTGCCCTCGTATGAAACGAACGCTTAGTTGAAATACTATTTTCTAATTATATCAAGTAAGCTTAAAACAGTTGACTTAGAAACTTTCTGATTTTTCATTTATAACCTTTTAGATTATATATTTTTATGATCGTTTTTTCAATTATGTTAGTATAATTTTTATCAATAGACATTAACTTTCTATTGCTTTCGTGAGGCAATCGTTTAATTGAAATATTATTTTCTAATTATATAAAGGTGATTATATAATTGAAACTTTCTGACTTTCCATTTACAATATTTTAGATTGTATTTATATGGTTTTCTTAATTTCATTACTCTGGAAACGTTAGCGCTTATAACGAAAATAAAAACGTGCAGCTAATGCGATTCACGCTGTTATCGAATTTAAGCTTTACTCCGATGGATTGATAATAAATCAATGTTTTAATACATCTACTAGTTTTTATGAAGCTATTAATGCAGTAGTAATTAAATTTTCATTTAAATCTAATTAATAACAGGCGCGACATTTCGCTCATAAAAAGGCACTAACGTTCGTCAGCCGAACGAGGGCAATAGAGGGTTAATTCCAATCATCGGAGCATCTTCTATCCTTACGTTAATTGTATAATAATCATATCATTATTTCGAGACGCACATATTAGACGAGAAAGCGTACCTCAGCGGTTTGATAAAACGGCGGCGACTTCGCCGTGCGGAGAGCATCGCACTTGCACAGGACGCGCTTATCGAACGCGCTCTTCGGCATCTCGTAACGGTTAGGGGCTGGAAAGTTCTTGAAGGGCGCGGGAGGGCGCGAATTTCCATGAGACGATTCGTAAATATTGTACAAAGGAGTCGGCCGCGCCGTAGGGGCTCGCGGAGCCCCGCGCGTCGCGGAAAGAAGCGGCGACCGCGGAAGTTACAAAGCGTGTTCTTAAAATTACTTGGCGTAATTTTTGCCGGTACAAAGCCTCGAAGAAACGCAGAGGCGCGGCGGCGGCGGCGGCGGCTCTTTTCGCCTCCCTAACTCTCTCGTCGCGGATTTGGACGGGACTTTTCTTTGTTTCGCGCTCGTAGTCGCCGGGGCCGGGGGTCGCGGAAGTCCGTCCGTCATCTCTACCCTTCATTCTGCTTCAGAAGTTTCCTTTGTACTTGAGAGTAGTAAAGTTTGTCTCCTATGCGGTAGAGAAATAATTGTTCGCGGGGTATCCCCTTCGCCCGAGAGAGACGGAGCGCGTCTGTTGACGTCCGCGCGCGCGTTGACGTCTTTCATACCACTCGAGGTATGTTGAAGAAGTAGGCCGGTTCTACCACCAGAACTTTTGCGAGGAAGCGACGATCGTTGTCGAAGTCGTATCCACGGATCTCCATCGTCCCGAGACGATGTCTGTTGGTCGTACGATCGTAGGACGAATGAACGATAGCTGAAATAGACAGTTGCGCGTCATGTTAAATTTATGGTCTGTTCTTTTCAGTTGTACTGCTGAAAAGAACAGACTATTAATTACCAAGTTGATTTCTATTGATTGTACATATAATACACTCAGTTATATTAATGCTATACCATTCACTACATTGATACCCCTTGTCCACAACCTTGCTTTAATTTTTAAGCCGTAAAAAATTGACCAACCACAGTACATTATTTTTAAAGTAATCGACTGTGATTGGTCAATTTATTACGGCTTAAAGATTAAAGCAAGGTTGTGGACAAGGAGATAATCACTAGAAAATTTCAATCACCCGTGTCCGTTTCTAGCTGATCGTTTTTTGTAACTGTTGATTCATCAGGCAAGCGGGAATGTGTCAAAACAGAAATGACATTTTGACAGCTTGACGTTTTTTAAGGCCCATCTACATAGGCCGTAACACGCAAAACGCAGTTCGCAAACGCAGAAAAAACGCAGAAAGTTGAAGTTGGATGTGTGCGCGATTGCGAACTGCGTTTTGCGTGTTGCGGTCTATGTAGACGGGCCTTTACATATGTGCTTATCAGAAGGTTATCCGCGTCATATAGGAATAACCTCTTTTTATAGACATATATGACACGTCAAGCTGTCAAATTAACTGTAAACATATTTATGCTTGCTTAATTAATCAACAGTCATGAGAAACACATAGCTAAAAACGAATGTGGCTAGTTGGGAATTTTTAATGAAGCTGCGTTCCGAAATTCATTGCTAGTGTTGAAATTCTATAGTATATGTAACATGAATTACAGATTTTCAGTACTGGCAATGGATTTCGGAACGCAGCCTGAGTATCGATATAGAGAATGGAACATTCAACGCGTGTGCACTAATTTATCTTAAATTTTATTACATAAAGTAGAATAAATAATATAAAATTTTATTATTACGTATTATTTATGTGCAATAAGAAAAAATGCACTTTACATTGATTTTTTATTGCTTTTATGTTCCGTTGATAATTGTTTTTTATCTTATTTCTATGAATTTTATCAGTCTAGTTGTAGGCTAATAATTTATATTAAAAAATAATAGAAGTTTGATGTTGACTCAATAATGAATAAATATTTTATTTATCTACTTACATGTATTTAATTTAACGTATCTATTTTTAACGTATCTATTTTTTTAAATTAATGTATATTAATATCAAAAAATATATATATATATTATATATGTATAATAACTAAGAAGGGACAGTACATAAATTAATATCACAAGATATTTTGTAATCAATGAAAAAAATTCCAATTCTTTGGTTACATTTCTATTTTTAAAGGTCGTTATCCGGAAATTGGCTGATTAAAAACTGATCACTAGTGTTAACTTAACTATCAAGTATCGCTACCCAGATAGCACAGAGAATTCAAAAAAAATTCAGTTGTATTTCACCAATTCTGAGTTTATTTGTAGATGCAAAAAGAATTCTTTTCATTGAACTGAACTTTGAAGAATTCTTTTTGCATCTGAAAATGAACTTAGAATTGATAACATCCCTTATAGAAATATCATACTAAGAATCATTGATAATTACTTATTATCCAATATTTTTAATACTGAAAATAAGTAATTATCAATGATTCTTAGTATGATATTTCTATAAGGGATACGACTGAATTCTTTTTTAATTTTCTGTATTATCTAGGTATCCACGCTAATAAACAGTTCTAAAAGCGAATTTAACAGTGTCATTCTTTAATGTCCAAATTTCACATATTCCTAAGAAATGCGTTTGTTCACACGAAAATTCCGTGAGCAAAGCTTTGAAATGATGACGTCGTAAACGACGATATTTCATTTTGGGACCTGGCCAAGTGCCCGGATGCGATCGTCGAGATATTCTCTCAAAAGAAGAACTGTGCTTTGCTGGACTCGGTCCTTCTCAGATCAAATTATGCCACGCTGTACGCGATACTGGAGTCGCCTTAAAAATTATTGAACCTTGAAGTATGCCAGATACACCTGGGAGATGCCGCGAAGACGAAGGAAGTGCGAGCGAACGAGTCACGAATAGGGGAGATGCACGTTCTGGTATACGTTTTCGCGACGTCTCTACAGCCAGAACACGGAAGCTTATATGCATCCTTTGCTATGTCGACTGTCCGTCCATTGCTTCCGCTCAAAAATGAATAAGCGTTGTCTGCGAAACACAGTCGTAAAGTCGTGTATACGTAGCAGGAATTTTCATGGAGAAAAAAGAAGTCTGTCGTCGGGCGTCATGCATTATGAGTTACCTGGATCTCGAGGTGGTTTTGACAGTTCCAATATGTCGTAAGACTCGATCCCAGTCGAGCGGGCGTCGACGTGGTTAGTTTCGCGCATCTCTTCGTTCTGTCGAATGCCATGAACGCTCTTCTTGCCTCTTGTATATACAGACGGTGTCATACATGCCTTAACATTTACTAGATCGAAAGTTTATTAGATATTCTGAAGTAGACACATTTATTTCTAGAAATGCGTACACCATGACTATAAATTATCCAAGGAAACGGTAGCGATGTTCTAACGGGTGGGTTTCTGATAGCTCGGACGGCTTATTGTCTGCCAAATTATAAAACCTTTTAACTCTAATTTTTTACAAAGTTGAGATATTCAATTCGTCCGATTTGTCTCGCGATTTTGCGTTTGAAACAGTTTTTTTAATTTTGTCAAGAATTAAGGTTTTCTAATTTGGCAGATGATAAGCTGTCCAAGTTGTCAGAAACCACCCGTTGGAACATTGCTGTTTCATCGGATAGAGGAGATCGGGGCCATATGGCCCCAGGAATATGTTGTTCATATGCCTTTTTTTAGTATTTATCTTAAAATAGTATATATCTTAAAAAGAATAGTAGTAAAATCGCAAAATGGCTCCTTTAGAATATAAATACTATTCCCTATCCGATAAAAAATTTTTCATACATAATTATATATAATTATACACAATTATGTACAATTACATATAATTGTATGCGTAATTATATAAAACTATATATAAAATTATATATACATATATATATACAGTGTGTCCCATAAGTTCGGCAACGGCAAGAAAACTCGGTGGGGGAGCATTTTAGAGAAAAATGTTTCAAATAAAAGTTGTAAGGCTTAAAAAGTCGCATTTAATGACAGTAGTTATTTGACCTAAGATGACGTCGCCAAGGCCAGGACAAGGTCAACTTTGCTTTTTTAGACAGAAATACATATTTTTTATTACATTTTATTCTACATGAAAAAGCAAACAACTTTTGTTTGAAAAAATTTTTTATACGACTTCTATTTTCTAAGATATTTACGTAAATATCTTAGAAAATAGAAGTCGTATAAAAAATTTTTTCAAACAAAAGTTGTTTGCTTTTTCATGTAGAATAAAATGTAATAAAAAATATGTATTTCTGTCTAAAAAAGCAAAGTTGACCTTGTCCTGACCTTGGCGACGTCATCTTAGATCAAATAACTACTGTCATTAAATACGACTTTTTAAACCTTACAACTTTTATTCAAAACATTTTTCTCTAAAATGCTCCCCCGCCGAGTTTTCTTGCCGTTGCTGAACTTATGGGACACACTGTATATATATACACACAGAGTGTCTGAAACCTTCCTTGACACAAATAGTAGAACGGATTAAACGGAACAGAAAAGTCAAATACCATTTTGCGAAATTCGCAATAGTTTTCGAGTAATTAATTATTTTGTCTGAACAAATAAGCGCTCAGCTCGGCGTGCGATCATGATACACGCGAATCGCAACTTGCTGCATCCCTCCACCCATAGCTACGCTGTATTTCGTAACTATGGTAACTATGGCTATTTCGTTGAGTGAGTTTCATTAAAATCGGAATAATGTTACAATTAAGAAATAAAAAAAATAATTTGATAATAGCAAAGTAAATTTTTTCTATCTTTTTAAAATTTTGTATTAATATTCTCCAATGTAACTGAATAAATTTAAGTGATGTGTTACTAGCTGCAAGTATAAATTTCTTACAAGTATATGATATACTGTTTCTGCTGATAAATGTAATTTTCATTCGTAAAATGATTGAAATAGAGCAGCATATGGACAGACGAGATAAAGTTGGCCCATAATTAAGGGTCGGCGGGAGGGCTGTGGAAATCTCTCGCGGAAACTCTGCAACTACTAATCAGGATACATATTTTATACGTGACCTTCTTTACCCTGCGCTAGTGGGCTAAACCAGGTACCAGGGTAAAATGGTTATAGTGTTATATGTTTGTATTGTAGTTATTACGAAACAAAACATATGATTAACAAGGCAAGCGTTAATACATAGAAAAAGATGTCTTTATTATATTTATTATATTTATATAGTTAGTCACAACAATTAATTGCCTGAAAAGTTATAATTTCAAAATTCTAAAATATAGGGCATCTAGCCCCGGTCCTCCTTACTTTATAGTCATGGTATACGCATTTCGATAACGATTGCAACATGTAACATGACATCTATAAGTGTTTATTGCCATTTATAAGTATTTTAATTATTATACGTGTATATATATATATATATATATAGGGTGTCTCACACTCTCCTCCGGGCATTTTGTGGGGACGTAGAATGGGTTGATGTAAATATAAAAGTCCTATACCGTTTTGCGACATTCGCAATAATAGTCGAGATATTAATTAAAAAAGATTAAAGAAAAACGCACGCTAAATAGTAGAGGACGGACCGCTCGAGTCACAGCACAGCCCAGTAATATAGCACGCGGATGTCGCGCGCGGTGATTGGAAGACAATGCACCACTGCCTATTTTTATCTCGGCGCGGTGCGGCAAGACATAGAAGCGCAGCGGTTATATACATACATACATATATAGGTTTACTTATATATTAACATTAATCCTCTCTATAAAAATCCCTCTATAAAATTAACTATAATTTATAAAACTTTTTTATCCATTTCTGCTAACAGAACAACCATGTGGAAAATGGTTCAAAGCCTTGACTCTTCAACAAGTTTTCTTCCATAATTTCTCTTGCAACCTCAAATCTGTTACACTGCCAGAAAATATGTTCTATATCTTTAATACTTTGTTCGCAGTCATAATTACCCTGTCTGCACAGACGTGGCAAGAACGTTACTACGTCGTAGCGACGTACTCGCCACGTCCGGTGCTGTCAGGGTTATTATTTTGTACGATTCTAAATTGAGGTAAACTCTCTTTTAGATTTTTATGTATGAGATTGCATCTAATTAATCGTTGCAATTATTTTTCTCGAGGAACTTCCTTTATAAAATTAAAAGTAAAATTAAGATTATAAAATTAAGAGTCATTTCGTTGTGAAACAATTCAAGATAGCGTTTGCCTTTTTCTTCTCATATTTCTTTTTTAATTTATCACCATTTATTATTTTAACTATTTACCTATATTTACTATATGTTCAAATTCTCATTGAACATCGTGGCGGCTCGTAGCGGAGACTTCGAAATTAATAATATGCAATAAATTCTTAGCAAAGATTTAAACCTTATTTTTAGACTCAAACCATATTTAACAAAAATTCAAACCATGTTTAGCCAAGGCTCGAACCATACAAGATGCCCGAGCGAGCGACGAACTTGATAAGTGTCGATAACGTAGAGCGATTATCAAAACATTATCACTATTCACCGACGATATCGAATTTATGTACACATAGATACTTATGGAATAAAGACGATCGTCAAACAGGCGCTAACTTGATACCGCTATCATCTTTTCACAAATGTTATGCAAGTGTGTGTGCTACATTGACATTTCAATTTTCTTACACATAGACGTTACGTAAATGTGAATGCCGCATTGCCGATATTCTTTCCAAAATAGGCTGTTGCTACTTTTCTGATGAATTTTTCAAACTGCTTGTGTATTGGGTGCATCAAAGAAAGAGCTTTTAGAGAAGAGTGTTGTTTGCGTAAGCGTAAGCGTAGTTTGCGTAAGCGTAGTTTGCGAATAATTTTTTGAAAAATACGTTACCTATTATTTGAGTTTTCAATATAATTAGCAACGGTAATTTGAGATATCATTTTCATTTCGCACTGATCAATGTTACACTTTATTTTCGCACGTAATTTTATCATATAAATTGGAGCAGTCAGTACGCTATAATTTTTGAAAAATGAAATCAATGTCACGATAGCAATAATTTCACATCGTTTTCATCCTTGAGGCAGGGATGCCTTATTTCATTTATGCACGTATTTTTACTATACAAAAGCATTTTAAATTTGATCAAGTCAACACAAAGTAAAATTTGTTGGGAAATGTCGTTGACATAATACCGAATACCTTTGCAAAACTATTGTCTCGTGCTGATTCGACAAAATTCGACAAAATTAAAAACCCTTATACATGGTGAAAGTGCGTGCAAAAATGAAGCGAAGCATCCATCAATATGAGACGAAAACGATAAGGAACAGTTACTATCACGACATCGAATCTTTCTGCAAAGTTTACTTATTTCTACCTCCGTCGAATGAAAACCTTTTGCATGGTGAAAGTACGTGCGAAAATGAAGCAAAAGATCTCTCAATACGAGACGAAAATGATAAGAAACAGTTACTATCACGTCATCGAATCTTTCTGCAAAAACTATTTCTTTCTACCTCCGTCGAATGAAAAATAATTAAATAATAACCGAATAAATTAAATCAAATAAAGAAGTAATAATACTCGAATATTAAACAGATGATAATAATTGATCGGTATTGAGGAACTCGATCGCGACATTTTTCAATCAAAGTAAAAAGGAAACGCGATAATTACCTGTCGCGGTAAAGCCCGCAACACCTACTCGCGTGAAGAGTACGCGTCTTGAGGTGTCTTAATTATCGCGGAGTCAAAACGCGGTATTAAAAATCGGCGCGGAATAATCTAGAAAATAACGCGGCAACTCCCAATGCGTTCGACGATTGAGAGTGTGTAACGTTCGAGCACGTGCTTATGTACGCGTATTTACATGACCCGACCGCGCGGTCCCTCAAGCGCCATTTAGTCAGCGGCAGTTACGACAGTCCGTTCATCTAGCCTTTGTGAAGCCTAGAGTTTTTGTTACAGCCGTTACCTAAGTATTGTTATTACCGATTATTCGATCATCGTTATTCCGGTATCCACTCGCAAATATTATCACACGATTATCGAGCAGATATTATTATCACTACTATTTAATATTCGAGTATTGTTATTTCTTTATTCGATTATTATTTAATTTATTCGGTTATTATTTAATTATTCCCAATGAAAAATTTTTCATATATAATTATATAAAATTATATAAAATTATATATAATTATATATAATTATATATTATTATGTATCAAATTTGTCCATTCATCCCTTATAGAAATATCATACTAAGAATCATTGATAATTACTTATTTTCAGTATTAAAAATACTGGATAATAAGTAATTATCAATGATTCTTAGTATGATATTTTTATAAGGGATGTTCATACATTCTACTTATATATATAATTATATATAATTATGTATAATTATATATATATAAATTCATATATAATTTTACATAATTACGCATAAATTTATATGTAATTATACATATTGTTATATATAATTGTGTATAATTATATATAATTTTATATGATTATATATAATTATACATAATTATGTATGGACAAATTTCATACAAAATTTTGCATGAAAAATTTTTCATCGGGTTGCTATTACACATAGGAAAGCAACTCGGGCGTGTCGTTACGACGATTTCTTTACGATTTCTTCGTCTTTGTTCAGTTATTATCGTCGTTGCGATAAACAGTTGCGTGGAAAACTATATACATATACATACACACACACACACACACACACACACACACACACACACTCGGAATATTCGGACGTGTGAAAAGTGCGATAAAAGTATGGTGCCATCTCGAAAAATATCCGTAAACTAATTTTTCGGTCTACTATATCATAGTTGTCAGAAAACCTAACCGCATATAATCATAAATTTTTCTACAAACTTCTCGTATCTTTTTTGGCATCAAAATTAAATTCTGAAAGTATAATAATGATCTTGGAAATTTTCCTAATTAAAGTATCCACAGTTTCGGTATG